TCCATTCTTTCCCTGACCTCATGGCCATCATGTATATTTCCTTCCTGATAATATACACAAGGCTGTGTGGGTTTCCTGAAACCAATCGGACAGCTATCTGAAATTTAAATATGCGTGAGTTGATAAAATAATCTAAGAGAAATTTAAAATTTCAGAAAGGACAACTGTTTGGCCAAAGTTTCATCCACAGAAAATGAATTCTGGAAAAAAATGTTTGCCCTATGCTCATTCTTCAAATCTAGCTTTCTGAATCAAAAGAGAAAGCAACTAGTCACATTCATCATCCTCAATAAATAACACACACGGCAATGAATAACCTAAGTCAACAAAGAACTTCATTCATGTCCTTAATCAAAGCATCAGCACTATTCCTTACCAAATAAACATTACCTCTTGACTTCCATCTAACCTTGAGAGATATACTACACACTTCATTAGGTACGATAATTTTCCTCTTTTAGCCTCCAAAACTTGCAGGGTAACTTTGTATAGATTAAAGAATACAAGAAAATTTTCATTTCTTTGTATTTTTAATAAAATCTAGGGAAAACAGCAAAGAGTTTCATTTGGTGAAACCAGTAGCGTGTACATGAAACAGGACTATCAATTTTCTTTATTGCAGACTAGCAACTGTACTTTAAATATCTTTAAGCTATACTCCAATTGTACTTGGGCTTAACATGTTGTACTTAATACTGAGCACTGAAACCTGCAGTCATCAAGCCTGGAGCCATCTTCTCAGCTCCTTCTCCCACTTCCAGGATGGGGGAAGGAGGATGGGTATCTACACAGCCTGTGGCTGAGAATGTGGGCTCTGGAGTCTATTTAAGATCTGCCTCTACCAGATCCTAATTGTGATGGGGGTTTTTGAGCCTCTTTGTGCCTCAGTACTCTTGCTGTAAAACAAGAACAATAATAGCACCTACATCAAAGAGGCTTGAGGATTAATTAAAATAATTCATGTAAATGGCTGCACACAGTGCCTGGCTTACTCACTACTCAATAAAAACTATTTTTTAGGGCCTTCCCTGGTGGGGCAGCAGGTTAAAGCATAGCACTAAGAAACTAAAGCCACTCAGTACAAGTTGGATCCTCACCCTGGAGGTGACCCACATGGCGCGGCAGACCTCTCCTGATCTGCCCACTGCTCCCCTTAGCAGTGTACTTGTCAGTTGGCCTGTTCTGCTCCCCACTCTGTCTCTGGTGAATCCTCTCACCGCCCCTGCACCTCTGACCTGTACCCCAGTTCTGTATGCATAAGTAAATAAATCTTTAAAAACAACTATTTTTAAAAATATTCGCTTATGGATGGTTCACACATGGGCTCAGCTGGACTGCTTGCTGCCCCATAAACCACACTGCTTATTCTCTGGCCTGATGAAATGCTCTTCCTTTCCACAGCCCCTTCATCCTGATCCATCTAACCAATCCTGACTTGGCCCCATTAACTTGTATGCCCATTGCTCTGTGTTTGCAATTCTCTTACACGCACTATATTAAACCTGACTTCCATTATAGGAATTTATGCCTTTGTCCTTCTCACAGGTAAAGCCCATGTCTTACTAGCTTATTTATTCTCTATAGTACTCAACAATAAGCGGAGTGGCTTATTTAATAAGCTTTTTTGAGATATGAAACAGTTACATTGATTTATGAAAGCATAATATATTATACAACCTATAATAGGAGCTCTCTCATAGGATGTTTATAAAGACTAAATGAGATAATGTATGTAAAGGTTATTAATATTTATTATTTTATCATTTTTAACCACAGCCAGTATTTACTGAATGTCTACTACATACCCAGTATTGTGTTAAGTACTTTGCAATGTAAACTCTTTAAAACAGATACTGGCATGATGATCTTTCAGTCCAATGGCACAGAGTAGATGAGATGAAGGTATTTTTTAAATGACTGATGAAAAATGACTTCAATATGGTGAATTTTTGAAGTAACTAAAAGAGCCGTATTATTAAAAAGTTGAATAGATAATGAAATTTCTTATATTTCAAAGGGTCAAAAGAAGTCAAGATACTTAAATGAACACGAGAACTTGGGAGTCTTAAAGATGAAACATAGCATTATGCGAATTCATGTCCTATGTTCAGGATTTCTAAGAAAAAGTCTCAATCAACCTCTCATCTCTAGCACAAGCCACTAACGGGAAGCTACTGCCAGGCGCCAGAAGGGCTGAGTCAGATGATGCTTAGAAAGAAAGTAATGAGTAAACATATACTCATTATCTAATTTACATTTATCATGAGAGAGGTTCTCAATTACCTTTAATAAGTGTAGTTCTGGGAATAAGATGGATAAACTATATCTATAGTTGATCCAAATGTTCTGAGACATAAGCTCTTCTAAATTCTTTAAGTGTGAAATCATTGGCAGGTTTTGCTTCACCTTACTGACGTTTTACACGATAATGAGGAGGAAAACAGTAAACAGTCAGTGGTCCAGAAATGTATACTTAGATGAATGTTGAAAGCTTAGAGAAGCCACAAAATATATATTCACTTTCTAAAACTTCAGGAAATAGGATGCCTACTTTGGTTCCATGTACATACTAGAATCTAGTTAAATGAAGAATGTCTTGATACATTTGTGAAATGCTTACTTTTAAAGTTTATACATATAATCCTAAATTGTTCTTCAGTTCATTTTAGCTTTTTAATTTAAATTTGTGAAAAACCAGAGTACCAAATACCTGAAAAACAAAATGCTACAAGATAGCAAACAGCATTTCATTTTTCCAAGCACAATGAAGTGAGCCATTTAAAGTAGAAAATAGATTAAAGGAATCATTTAAATAAAACTGAAGGGGAGGCCTAGATTTTTTAGTGAGTTCCAGCTTCTTGGTATCATACCATGAATCTCCTTAAACATAAGGATATACAAAGCATGAAATTTTTAAAAATGATGACATTGATGGAAGCTAAAAATGCTTTGCGGTGATTCATATGTACAATCAACTGTATGTATAAGCAATTCCTTTTAAAAATCTATATTTAACAGGCACTAAATAATCAACTTCTCAAAATGAGACTTCCTATTTTAAAAAATGACTCTCCAGTCCTGTTTTCTATTGAAAAGATAACTTCCCAACCTAATTATGTATGGCATTTGGTTTTCATCAGTACAATCCTGGATTTGAATGCTATGGAGACAGAAAAGACAGCAATCAAAGGTGGGCACTCTTTGCTCTGGACACAGAGCTGCTTATAAAGGATTTAAAAGAGGTTTTAACTTCTACATTCTACTTGCCTCATGAAATTCCCTAAATAAAATTGGGGAGATTCACCTACATTGCCAAATTTTAATCTTGCCATGGGAAGGAGTTAAAAAACAAGCAACCAAACTATAGCTTATCGATAAAGACTATTTTAATACCCCCTGCCCCCCAAGAATTGCAAGACCCTAACTGCAGAATAACAGATCTTTGCTAAACTCATTCCAGCCCCCTTCCTAAGCTAGCAGGGCCACACAGCGCTTGTCACAGAGCAGCCCCACAGGTGGCCCAGCATTCCGCTTCACCACGAAAGGGGACGATGTGCTCCAGCGGTCTCACAGAGGTGGACACAACTGGGGTACTCTTTGTTAAATTTAATATGACGAAACAAGGAGAAAAAAGGTAATAAATAATTCCTTCATATAAAACGGTCTGTTTAAGGTAGAACTTGGAATGTTCACTCTCCTTGAAAAGCACAGTAATGGAAAAGACTGAATCAATAAGGTTGACCGCAATCATTTTCTGATTCTCCCTTTATTAGAACAAAGGTTAATTTTTTTGGAAAACAAGTTTATGGAACAGCTGTCGTCTGAAGCATTCAAGTTCATTCTGAAGCCTCTTACATACATATCATAAACATGGACATTCACAGTCTATTTCAAATATATATATGGAATAGTTATTAGCTGTACTTTATAACAAGTGAAATGAGTGGGCAGAGAGAGCAAAGATTAAAAAATTACATTCAAATGCTGGCTGAATTAAGTTTACAACCTCTCATGCATTTAAATGAAATGGAAATTTTTGATAAATTAAAGAAATAATTTGTTCACAAAACAGCATTCAATGACTGGACTAATTTCACTATTGGAGAAATTTGCAATAAACAGGGCTTAAGTGTTTAAAGAGTTAAAATAAGAGTATACAAATATAATATCTATCAAAAATAGTTCATAAGTTCAAATTATTCCAAGCAGAATATAGATACACTCGATGGGTAGTGGATTTTCTGGACCATAACTTTTCATTCTCCACTCTCTTGCGCACTATTTGAATTACCCTGTCACTCATTTGCATCCAGACACAAGGACCTCCACATTAAAAGATGGGAACTATGAAGAGAGAAAATCTTGAACATTTTTGCTTTGTTACTAATTAGAGGAGTCAAATTTTTAAAATTCTGTATTTAGAAATCTTGATTAAAATACCTGTTTGGTGGTACTAATAGACTTTAAAAATTTAAGCTTGTAGAGGTGTGAACCTATACCCCTAAACCTTACACAGTGTTGTAAACCACTGTTAACCTCAATAAACACACAGTGTAGTGTAATGAGTAACACTACAAACCTGGAACATAACAACCATGTGAACTTGGACTACTACTAAATCTCTCTGTGCTTCAGATGCTTTTCTCCAAAATGAGAATACTAAGTAATCATTATTTAAGGCAAGTATGTTCATGAGTGCATAGCATTTACTATTAACCCTACTGCTACTAGTTATTCTTAGAGCACTTGTAAAATTCACTGCATTTATGGAAGATTACCACATGGAAGAGAGCTGAACATAGTTCACATCTATCAATTTTGACAGAGAATTTTGTCAGATGAGAAATGCTCAGAGTTAAGAGAAAATGAGTAATTTTGAAGAGAATACCCTTCACGATAAACGGTATCCACTTTCCTTGTCAGAAGTATTAAGAACTGTATTCTGGAAGTCTAGCAGGAAATGAGCAGCCAGAATATTCTTCTCTGGAAGCCCAACTTACCCCTTGTTCGTCCAGCTTCATGAGCTGCTCTGTGACTTTGGGGGTGTTGAAGGCCAGCCGCAGGCAATGGACATTCAGCTCGGGAATCACATGCTCCAGCACCTCCTTCAGGGGCAGCCCTCTGGCAGTCGAGTGCTTTGCTGTTGAGGGAATGGCATCCTCGAGGACCGAACCTCTCAGCGTCATGAGCTGAAAGAGAACATGTGCTCCAGTGAAGTACCTCTGGAGGTGTAAGGTGAGCAGATGCATCAAATGCACTGAAAACACAGACAGCAGACTTCCATGGGGGGCTGGGGGTGACTCCTGATGGCTCAAGTCGGTGAGGGAAGTGACAGAAGACTTTCTATGGGACCACAGGAGGCCTATACTTTCAAGAAGATCCAGGCCAGTTCAAGGGCAATCATAACCAAGTCTTCTAAGACATTTGCTTAAATGCTAAATAAAGCACTTCCTTAGAGAGCTCAAGACCAAGGTCTCTATATGACTGTAAAGTGCCACTAAACACAGAGAGACAGCTAAGAATACATATTCTCAGAATTTAATGATGTACCTTTCTGAATTATGAAAGGGCCACAAAGTTTCAAATTTTGTGAAATACTGCTGAAAAGCATAAACATCTCACAGCCCCAAATGCTGCCACAGTAGGACAGCAGCTGTGGTGGTTCCAAGCACAGCCAGCAGCGTCTGAAGTTAAAGTAGGTGTTCTCGGCCCTCCCTGGTGGCGCAGCGGGTTAAAGCACTGCACTAAGAAGCGTAAGCCACTTTTGCATGAGTTTGATTCCCGCCTGCCCCAGAGGAGATCTGCATGGCGTGGCAGACCTCTCCTGACCGGCCTGCTGCTCCCCTCAGCAGTGTACTTCGTCCATCTGCCTGTTCTGCTCCCTGCTCTGTCTCTGGTGAAGCCTCTCACCCTCCACATCTCTGGCCTGTAACCCAGTTCTATATGAAAAATAAATAAATGAGTAATTCTTCACATAGTTTAAAAAAAAGTTAGGTGTTTTCTTATTTTTGGCTCAATGCCTCCCATTATTATACATAAACTTATATAGACATACATACATACACTTAGAAACATAAGCAAAGAAATTTCCCTATGCGGTGATGGGGTTTACTGGAGCAAAGCTATCCAGCATGCAGCTTAAAAGTGATCTAAGTAATCTACTTTTCCAAAAATTTTCACCTGGCAAAGCATGGCAAAAATAAATTAAACTTTATATAATTGTATGCTGACCAAAGGAATTAAAAAAAAAAAACTACTAAACAAATTTCCATGAAGCATGTAGGTGGTAAGACACAGCACAGCAGCAAAAGCTGCAAAAGCTAACAGAAGGGTACACGGAGGGGTGCAGAGTAGGGAGAGGATGAGAGGGAGGGACACCGACACATTCAGGAAGGGTGTATTTACTAAGCAGAGCATAGCTAGTTCTGTCCTAAGGGAGGAAACAGTTGTGGCTCAGGGCTTAAGGAACATCCCTCACGGAAGGCAGCACAGCACTAACAATGGGCTATGGAATTTAGGAAAAATGCTACATAGAAATGCAAGCGAGGAAAGGTATGGAGATCAGATGAACAGTGAGAGTGAAAAAGCCATTACTACTACAGCTCCACAGGGGCTGAAGAGAGCAAAGGAAGGGGTGGGTGGGGAAGCTTCAAGGTGGGGGAAAAGCCCAGGGCAGGTGACTCTGCTGCCAGCAGGTTGTGACCCCACCCAGCTTCTTTGGGGAGTCTCCAAAGTAATCTGAATGGTGGAAACGATTTATAAGGTCATGCGTCACTCCCTGTCACTCAATGACAGGGATGTGCTCTGAGAAACACACCCATTTTGGGTTTTATCACTACCTAACTGCCTGTGTACCCACACAAACCTAGGTAGAATAGGGCTAAGCACGTAGGCGATAAGATACTGATTGCTGGGACAACTACATTTAAGGGAGATTACCACATGGAAGAGAGCTGAACATGTTTGTTTTTTTTTTTTTAGGAAACTAAGTTGACAAATAAGATAAACTGCAAGAGGCAGAAACTTAAGGCAGAGCAGAAAGTTACAAGAAAGTCGCACCAGACAAGTAACAGGCGAAGAGGAGTAAGAGGGGAAATGGAAAGCAAAGGAAGACTTCACCGGGAAGTGCAATCTAGCATACTTGCCATGGGTGAAGGAGACTAGGGTAGGAGAAGCAAAACTTCCCAATATCTTACTCCTAATACAAGAAAAAGGCACTTGAGGCATTTGCAGTCAATTCATTTGATTAGTACCTTTTCTTTCACTAATAAATACTGAATGACTTACTCAAACTAGCAGTATAAATAATAGTACTTCCCTATTACCAATATGACAAATCTTTATCTGAGTAATCATTTTTGTCTTGCTTTTAAAACCCAGTTTGAGAGTTTGAGTCTCCCCCTCCCCAACCCCCCCAGGACATGGATGGGGGGTGAGGGGGAGTTCCAAAGGCTGCAGTATTTTCATTTGAGCCACGCAGACCAGGGAGACTCAACACAGTGAACCCTGTGCCTCAGAGAGACGGCAGCTCACTTCATGGCAGCCAAGGAAGGGGGGGGGGGCAGGGAAGAATGGCTAATATTTATGACTGAAACTAGTGTCACTGGCACTTCTGCTGAGCACTCCCAGAAACGTGCCTATGGAGCAAAGTGCACCCCAAGATCCTGTTCAGACACAGCTGCCATGCTCACAAATAGATGCTTTGAGCGGATTCAGTTTTTGCAATAATTCTCTCTATTGACAATGAGCTGTACCTGTTACCTTGATGCTAGTTACTGAAACGAGAATGTCACCGTGGTGACCATACTTTCTTTTTGCTTGGTAAGTAAATGAGCATGAGAAACGGTAGCATGAGATGTCCTTCCAAAAGGCATAAAAGCCAAGTCTTACATGACTACACATGTGGGAACTGGCTGCAGGGAGAAGTGGCAGTGTCCACTGGTCAAGCGCACGAGCCAGGGGCTGACCCCAATGTCTGGAGCAGCTAGCAAGGGCTTTTGCTATTTATTTCTATGCAAAGCAGCAGAAAGATGTTACAACAAACCATATTTAAGGAAGATTTGTATTAGGAAGAAAAGGTACACAAAAGCTAGGGGCAATTAATTAAATAGTCATCAGAGGCAGGAAGGGAGGAAGGAAAGGGAAGAAAAGACACACAGGGAGGGAAAGTACTACTTCAGGCCATAGGCATGTGGTAATCAGCATCTCAGACAAAATTCCCCATCCCATGGGCTTGATGGGGGGAGCAAAAATAGGGGGCAGTGGACAGAAAACAAAACAAAAAAATGAGTGTGTATGTATGCGGAAATGTGCTAAGGAACTCTGCAGAGTCTTATGGACTCCACCCCCTACTCCAGCTTTCTGGACCCTACACACTACTCCAGGGATTGGAAACTACAACTCCCAGCAGTACCAGGGAGAGAACTGCGAGGACCCAAGGGCAGAGCTAGCAGAAATGAATTCTGGGACTTTTGGGGGGATAAATAGGGCGTAATTGCATCTCATGCGCTCTGGCTCGCTTGCTTGGGAAGCAGCTCTCCGGACTGCGTGACTTGGTGTGTTCAGTCAGCCTAGCCATAGGTATTCCACTTAGTTTGTATCCCGCTCTCTTTCCCTGGGCTGTTTCCTATTCCTTTCCCCTTTTTGTAAATAAACTCGTTATTGACCCTTTTGTGTGTCCCTGAACTGTAACTGAACAGTGAGCGCGCGGGTGAGGTCCACAGACAGTCCACTCTGTGCTTCCCTGTAACCTGCTGAGTGACTCTGAAAAAAAAAATTAAGTCTGGAATCAGACATGAAGTGAGGACTTGAGGGAGGAGGAATTCTGGATTCAATGGCCAAGGACAGCCCTGAGACTTATGAATAAAGGTCAGAAGAAAAAGAGAAATGCAGCCAAGGAGATGCCTGAGGAAGAGCAGGCACTTGAGGCCTGGGCAGGATTCAAGCCCTGAGGTGCAGGTGGCCAGACGAGCCCCAGAGGAACAAGGTCATCGTGGTCCCAAAAACACGGAGGGACGGTTTCTGGAGACGAGGACAAGACAGGAAACCAGTGACAGGGTCTGGGGAAGAGGCGCTGATATAGAAGCTTTCAAAGTTTGACTTGAAGAATGAGATGCAAATGGCAAGTGGAAAAATTTAAATACAACAGAAAGGGAAGATGATCAAGGAGGTTGCCAGAAAGGTCTCAGGAGGGTTGGTAAGAACAAGATCACAGAGCACTTGGAAAGATAAATGAGGCCCGTGGAGGGAGCTGAGCAGCAGCTTGACACCTGCCCGTCCCACTTCAAAAGCAAGTGTCCTCTCTGTGCTTCCCATGGGCAGCAGCAGAATTTCCATGGCTTTACGGCTACTTCCAGCATGGAGAAAAAGTACACTAGAGTACATTAGTTCTTCATTTCTCTCTGGTCATGCTATAAAACACATTAGATATTAAAGTCAGGCTATTAAAAATCCTATTTTTTAATTTCCCCAGGGTTCACACATAGGAACAATTACTAAGTGAAGCCAACCCTGGAAACTTGCACGGCAGTCAATGAAGAAAATAAAGCCAAAAACCCCATTTAAAATAGTTTCAAAACCTGTATTATCTAGATGCTAAGAGGGGAGATTAGGAATTAATACACAACCACAGTCCTAAGTGAATTAAGTGATAAGTGGCAGTAAACTGGTGACTCCTTCACATATCCTTAATGCCCTGGTGGCGCAGGGGTTATAGACAGAGTGCTATACAGCTACTGCAGCCACTGCAACATGAGTTTGATCCCTGGCCAAGGAGGTGATCCACATGGTGTGACTGACCTCTCCTGACCTGCCTGCTGCTCCTCTCAGCAGTGTATCTCTGTAGGTCTGCTTCCCACTCTGTCTCTGGTTGAGTCCTCTTACACTGCCCCCCACCCTCCCAACCTCTGGCCTATATCCCAGTTCTTGCATACATAATTTTTTTTTTCTTTTAAGAGAAAACAAACCTCATTGTCCCAAGTGTTTGGGACAAACAAGAGTGGCTGTTGTTTTAAAATGAATGTTTGCTGAGGCAGTCCCAATGAATCACATGGCATGTTTCCGGCATTATGCCCAGTTCCTGTGCAGTCTACTCAACCTCGTGATCAAGACGTCTCCCGTAAATATTTTTAAAAACACTTTACTGGCTATTTTATTTTTCCTTTTATTTTTGTAAGTGGAATCTCATTTAAAGCACACATCTTGTGTTTGTTTATTTCTAAAGAGCTCCAGGGGCCTGATTCATCCACAATGACACAGTCATTGGTTCAAACAGTCTGCTTTCTAGGCATCAGCAAACATGTCTTCTAGATACAAAATGAAAGATGAAGAGGAGTCGCTTTCCTCTTCTTGGGTCAAGAGATGTCAAGAGTACTAGTTTGGAAGAATGCGCTGAGTCCTGGGTGACCCGCTCTCATGTGTACACTCTGGCTCCCGAGCTGGCACAGGGCCTTCCGGCGGCCTGAGCGGGACATGCAATATCCCACTGGGGAGTCTGAGGGCTCCAATTTCCTGGGGGTATTCTGAAGGGACACAGCTTACTCTGGATCAATTCTCCCATTCATTTACTGCATCTAAACAGAGCTGGACAGAAGGATCCAGATCTAACCATCACATCCACCCCCACCATCTCCAGAATGAATGAAAGTGGCCTTTGTTTATTCTCCAGACATTTGTAACCACATGTGATCAAATTTTATTCCTTTACTCCTGCTACTACTCTATTTTTTTTTTCTCACATCAATTAAGCCTCAAGTCTTTCTCATTTGAAACTTACCTCACTAGTTCTAAAAATTATTCGGTAGTTGTATGGAGATACGTTTTCTTTCATTTCTTCTGGTTTTTCCCTTCGAATGCTCACAGCCACCGGACCAAGATTCTCATCAGCCCCAAAATAGTTCCAGTGTTCTTAGGTAAGATAAGACAAAATGAAATTAGGATGTTATATTCTGCTTTAGATTTCAAGCTCTCAGAAATTATTCTGTATCAATAAAATGCAAATACACTGAACAAATATTAATATTCTTCGGTGATTTATAAAAGCAAAGACCTGGCTACACAGGCTTACTTTCAGAGGCGGTTACACTGAGCAGAGGTGCCTGCTGTGTTTTTCTCTGCTCTGCCACTTACCAGTCTATTTTTTAAAAAAAGAAATCTGTGTTTTTCCTCCTTATCTACCACTGAAGTAGGCTACATTGTGTTTCCTTGACTAAGGGTAGGCGTGCTTAGGGCTTCTTTAGTTTGGGGGGCGGGGGAGAAGTCTAACTCCAGTGAGAATAGTTTGAGGAGAAAGGGATTTCCCCAAGATCAGAGATGTTCCTGCCCTATAGAGAGGAAGGACATAGGACATCTGGGGGTCACAGAGCAGCATTCTGCTCCCAGGAAGGTCGAAAGAGTGGGAGCAGGTGTTCAGGGAAAGAGCCTCCCAGTGCCCCAGGGCAGAAGCCTAGACTCTGGGCTCTGCACTTCACCAGGGTCCTCAGGCAGGTAGCGTGGAAGGCTCCCAGCAAAGCCACCTCTCCCTACGTGGCCAGCAGGTACTGGGGCCTCTCCTCAGTGTGCTGGTATTGACCAAGAGGCAACTGAAGCATTGGGGGAAGTCTCCAAATGACTGGTGCTCAATCTGCCTTCCTTCTGACAAGGAAAGTCAGAACCAAAATTGATCTACAGAAAATAAAAGAAAGTGACATTTACTGTGCACCCAAGAATACATTTCTTGAAAAGATTACAATTTTTGATACACACATGAAATGTTCACAGATGAGGAAGTTCATAAAACATGAAATACATGAAAAGTTAGAGTAGGTAACTTACACTTTAAACCTCTAAAATGCTTCACATTGTCTTATTTTGTTTACATGTGACGTGGCAAAATGAGTAGTGACATGGCACACTAATCTCATACAAAATACAGCTGTATTTGAAAATCCATGTTATTCCCATACAAAATATGTATCTGAAAGTTCATGAGAACATTAATAATAGCATAAATATCAAATCATACAATTAAATTATGTATACGAATGTATTTTACAATTAGTAAAGGATAATTAGGGAAGATAAAAATACGAAGGATTCTCTAGATATCTGAACCCATGGAAATTCAAAGTAAGAAAAACACAATGGGAATACAGGCAGCAAACATCTCAAAGATGGAAACTGAGAAACAACCCAATACATGTCACAAGATTTATGTACAAACACTCATGTACACCCTCAAAGCACAGCACGTGAGAATCACACGCAGAGGTTTTTTACTCTTACTTTGCACATAATTTTAATAAGCTTGGTTGTCTGGTCTTCAAGCCCACCGCTTTATTTCAGAGGTGTGATAATTCCAGATGCTGACAAAGTCCAGAGTGTAGGGCTGATACAGACTTGCATGCAGACAGCAAAGTGATAGAACAACTGACGACAGGGAAGGAAACAAAAGGGAGGAGACAGAAATTGTATAAAAAAGCGGACAAGAACTTAAAGGAAAACAAGACAGCAGTCTGGGGCCATTTACTGAAGCGGCAGAGAGCGCAACACATTCCATAGCTTCAGAGGGTATTTTAATAGTGCAGCACAGAACGACAGTGGAGGTGGCAAGGGTGAGCGTGCGTCCCGGCTCTCATACGCTGTTCCTTGAACTTCACGGACTCAACGAATACCCGATTCTAGAAGCTCCTCTAGCACACCCCACCACCTCCAGGAGGGCAGATGTGACTGCTGTTCTCTGCTGCTGGGAAGTCACAAAGATAAAGGGCCATAATAACCTCAACACTTGCTCAAGCTGTTGGTGGTCAGCTTTGTTCTCTATTCTAGCTGCAACCAACATCTCCCCCTCCCCCTGCCAATTGCCCCCTTCTAAATCTCAGCAATAATAATGTTGTCTGTACCACAAAGGAAGACGCAATCCAAAGGCTGCACCTTCATTTTTCACCATTGTAACCTCAAACTTACCTGCATCCAGACTTTTGCTTTCAACCCCGATCAGTCCCTAAACCCTGGCCTCTGCCTATCCACTACTGCAGGGACTCTGCACCTTGCTGCCCTTTCTCCATTTTTTTAAAAAATATGCTACATTTTTGGAGGGTAAATATTTATTTATGAATACAGAACTGGGGTGCAGGCCAGAGGTGCAGGGGTGGTGAGAGGATTCACCAGAGACAGAGTGGGGAGCTGGACAGGTCGACTGATGCAGTACACTGCTGAGGGGAGCAGCGGGCAGGTCTGCTGTGCCATGTGGGGCCAGGGATCGAACTCGCACTGAAGCGGCTGTGGCTCGCTTGCAGTGCAGCGTTCCAACCCGATGCCCCACCAAGGAGGGCCCCCCTTTTTCCATCTTTAATGCCTCCCTCTCCATTTACTCATTTCCTTCATTATTTAATCAGGCTCAAGTCTCCATCTTTAAATGTAAGTCACGTTCAAGTCTTGGAAACTTCTTAAAAGAGCTGCCTAATTGCTCAGCTTGGCATAAATATGAGCCTGACCTCCAGGGCACAGGTCACCAATGAGACTGAAAGTTAGATAATGTTGGTGCTAATCTTGTTCAAACTCCCCATAGCATCTGGCATAGTTGTTTCTTTTCTTTTCTTTCTAGAAACACTCTTACTTTTGGGCTTCTATCACACATTTCTCCCTGATTTTCCTTCTCCCGCTCTGGCTACTGTAATTTCCCCACCCTCTCCCATCTCCAATAATCCATCCACTCTCTGGACTTCAACTGCTCTCTCAACCTCGATGACTCTTGAAAGTATGTGTCTACTTCAGACTTCTCCACGACATAGAGCTACCTATAATGGAACTATTTTTTCTGTCCTGTACATATCAGCAAAAGCCAACCCTTTTATTAAATCTATTCAGCTCTCCTACTTTCAGTGACGGCTGCCACATTCACCTACTACTTGAGCCAGACCCACTATCATTCCCTTAAGTCTCCTTTTACACCCCCCCCCCTCCAGCCCCTCCCCAGTCCACGTCCTGCCCGCTCATCACTTGTTTGTAAGTTCTAACTGGCTGGTCTGCATCCACTCCTTTCGCACAGGAATTGGGTGACCCGCCTAAATCTGCTCATTGTTATCAGGCTTAAAATCTGTTGCTGACTTCCAATGGGTCTGTGGAAACTTTTCCTGGCTTTACAAAGTCCCTCACAACCTGCCAGTGTCCTCTTACCCCAGTCTCAACTCCCTCATCTTATTAAACTATACTCTCCTGAACTATCAGTTGCTCAAACTCAGCTGCCCTTTCTGCTCTGAAGAACTCCGCCTACGATAGATGACATCTTTCCATCCCTTAACTCTCCCCTGACATGTGACTTAGACTTCCTCAAGTTGAGAGGCTGACTATCAGAACAAAATAGAAGTGTCCGCTTTGTCTAATAACACATCTACTTTACTAAAATGTATTAAAAAGAAAATACATAAATATACAAATTAGTAAACCAAAAGGTTATATATATTTCAGGTGCAAAAATTTAGAAATACTTGAATGCAAAGTATAAATTTATAATAATATCAATTTAAAAACAATTTTAGTATAAATTGGCAAATAAAATAAAAATGCAGTGTTACCCTAAAACTAAACTAAGCCCTACATAAAAATGAAGAATGGAAATTAAAAGTTAAAAAAAAAAAGATTATTAAGCTTCTTTTGTGTATCATCATCAACCACTGTATTTATCTTTGCACTATTTTTCCCAGCTGCTGAAGTACATTTCTGAGTTGGGGGAATGTTGATGGGATAATTACAAAGTAACTTCAAACACTTTTTTCAGACCCTATCTTCAAACAAACACATCTCTGGCTTGAAAATCCTAGGAAGCACTTTTTAAACTTGTAGATATGTGCAGAAACATCAATCTTTTTTTCATCAAAAAGACCTCTATTATTTTCAAGCGAGCATTTCCATTTGATCTTCAACTACAGAGCTTGTTGGGTAGAGACGGAGGTTCTAGTCTGGAACCCTGTGTTACCAGGATCCACTACCAGGATCACACTCTGCCTGCTCAAACCATCTTTCAACAAAAAATAGCTTACAGCAAAAGGTTTGGTGTTTTTATAGTTTTGTTGTTGCACAGTGTCCATTTTTTTCCCTACTCCTAAGGTTCATGAAGGCACAGGGAAAAAAAAAAAAAACATGTTCACACTAACACCTTTATTCAATTCAAAATGCTAATGCACTGTGCAACTGGTAAAGAAAGAGGAGCTCTACAAATCATCTTAAATTGAACTGTTGAGTCCTTAAGCTTCGATCTCAAGACAAATAACTCCATTTCCTTTCTCTTAAAATAACAGCCTTTGAAGGGGAGCCTCAGGCCGGTCCCAATGACCACTCTCAGGGTCTGCCCATCCTCCCATTTCTCTGGACTGCAGTTTGTCCCAGTAGGACTGCAGCCGCCAGGCAGCACCTCCGTCCCTGTTACCTGCTGCAGTGTTCATTTTTTCCTACTTTCCCCCATCCTCTGCTAGTGGAGCTAGCCATCAACCCCAGACAGCTCTTCCCCCGCAACTCCCCCCAAAAGTTTTGCCTTTTGAGGGGGCAGAGGAGGAGGAGGAAGAGGACAAGACAGAGAAGTTACAGATGATGAGTGTTAAAGAAAGACTGGGAAACCTATGAAGAGAGAATGCAGGATGAATAAACTTGGAGGAAGGAAAGGGGGAGAGGAGAGGAAATGGGACTCAAGGAAGGTGGGTAAGTCTGCTATGAAGGAATTAAAGTACAACAGGTATTACACCTCCAAAAATAGCATTTTAGTGCTAGCATACTGGAAAGTCAGAAACTATTACTGCCACAACAACCATTATATAATGTAAAAATATAATGCGGCAAACTGAGATACTCTATTCAATATTTATAGCAATGAAGAAAATATATTTTCTTCTGTTTTACAGATGTGGCAACTATAATTTAAAGAATAAGTCACT